AAAAAAAAAAAAAAAAAAAAAAAAAAAAAAAAAAAAATGATCGTTTCAGAATTTTACACAAAGTCTTTTTGTTAGATTTTAGTGGTTTATTGACAATTATGTAGAAACACTGAAAATGGAAAAAATCATGTTTTAAGCATATGGATTTTTATTATGTATGACTAAATCATTAATTAAAAAATCTGTGTCTGATTATGCCATTTGAACCCTTCCAAAAAATAATCTGCCTGGGGCTGGGAATTTAGCTCAGCGGTTCGTTGGCCTGCCTCACAAGCACAAGAGCCTGAGTTCGATCCCCGGTACCAAAAAAATATTATAATAATAATCTGCTTTACAAAAGCATAGCACACAGTTTATGAAACAGCTTGTGGTTGCTCACATAATAACCCATTTTCCCTGCCAATCGGGGAGTAAAGTTCTGTACTAATCTTGGAGGAGTGGACCTAATCCAAGATAAAGAACCTTTTGCACATATTGGAGATGGATGTGAAGCCAGTCAGAGACATGCAACAGGGTCCCTGAATGGCCCATTTTTATGTGGTAAAAATTATCATGGCTTCAAATTTACTTCTGTGGGCCTGGAAACCTGAGTAGAGAACCGTAGGCGACAGCGTTTTACAACCAAGCAGTTTGAAAGTTTTACCAGAAGGTCATACATAAAGGAAGAGAGGGGAAGAAAATAGATAAAAGAAGTGGTGGACGTGATGAATTGTTAGTTGAAGGCAAAGAAAGTTAGCAAAGGCAGCAAGTTAAGAAATGGAGGCAATTTACAGCAAGATCTAGAAAATGTAATAAATTTACAGATGGTAGGAAATGACAGTATAAAGGGGATTGAATTTATGAGAAATGGTACATAAAGAAGAATGTGAGGCTGAGGAACACAAGAAATTTATTTTAACCAGGAATTATTGAGCACATCCACTGCTCCAGACGGTGCTGAGAAGTGTTGGACATGTAGTGCACAATCTCTACTATGAAAGGTAACTCACGGCCAAGTGAAGCTGATGTTAAACAGGCACAGCATTATCTAAACAGCATAAAAGGAAGATCGATTAATTTTGTTTATAGAAGTTCTGGGGAAGAGTTATAAGGTTTGGTAATAGTCAAGAAAAAAATTTTAGACATGAGCCATCCATCCTCCCCAAAATACTAGAAGATATTCAGCATTAATTTTCAGTTCTTAGAGTTAGTGTATAGATGGTAGAGTAACGATGTGAACCCAGAGTTGAGTTCATCAACAAAGTAGGAAATGGGAAGGTAGCACTTTAGGTGCAGGGCAGTATTCCCAAAAAAGGAAGGAGAAAGGGTCATGTTGTCTGGTACATTTAGACAAAGCAGTCAAAATGCTATGAAACTAAAAGATGCCTTTAAAGAACCTGGTTTGGCAGGAAACTCGACGCATAGTGAAGCACGTGTACCTTTGGAAACTCTTGGGAGAAAATAGAACAAGGAACTAAAAAGAAACAAAGCTGAAGAAAATTCAAAGAAAACATTGTCCTAGTGTGTGTGTGTATATATTATATATATATATATTATCAGCCATCTCCATGTGACCTACTTACTTGGATTTTCCTACTTCATGTGATCCAAATATGTGCTGAAGTTATATGTGAAAATTCCAGAGACAGTATTGATATAGCAATAAGTATTTTTCTGAACAATTGTACACATTCAAAGCATAATTCTGAAGACAATGAATATATAAATTAATTTGATTACTTGCAACAATCCAGCAAGGTAAGTACTATTTTTATCACCATCAGATAAATAAATTAGTGCACAAATAAGCTTAATAATTTACCAGGGCCATATATCTTACATGGATCTGAATGAAGATTCATACCCACAAAGTCCTGCTTGAGATTTATGACTATTCACACTAATAATACATTACTTCTACAAGTACACATTTCTGAAATTAAAAATCACAATAATTTAATGTTAAACATATATTGTTTTATATATTGTTTACTGAGGCCCTCTATGAATCAGACTGTACTCCAGCTGCTGAAGTATCATATTTTAGAAGGAATAATGGAACATCCCAAAGACAAGTTAAACTTTGAAAAGTATTTTTAAGAAATATTCCTCTAATGCACAGTTTTTACTTTATTTTACCCAATACACTAAGTAGATTTTTGCCTTCACAGTATTTCAAATGGAAAATAGGCCTCCTCTCATACTTGAGACTATCATTTATACAGGAAAAGATTGCTGCTTGGTGAGGTACTCTAGCTGTTTCAGTAAGAGCAAGAAAATAGAAAGAGAAATTCAAGAAGAGATAGGAAAACACAGATCTATTACATGTGTTCACTGGACATTCCACCATTTTTGCATGTTTTCAGTTTCCAGATAGACTGTCAAAAATCCATTCATGAATTTTTAGAAGGATAGGAGAAAAGATTTATATTTTAATTCAAGAGGGAAGAAAATGCTACCAAAAAAGAAAATTTTCTGTTTTTTTGTTTCTTGAGACAGGGTCTCACTATGTAGTTGGGGCTGACCAGGAACTCACTAGGTAGCCTAGGCTGGTCTCTAACTCACAGCAATTCTCCTGCCTCAGCCTCCCGAGTGCTGGGATTACAGGAGTGCGCCACCACACCCAGCCCAAAATTTTGATATTGAATTCCTATCTTTTAAATATGCCCATAGAAAAATGTAAAACTTTTCATTGTAATGGTTTTTATAATCATTCAGCAAATGAACTGCCTATGGTGGTGGTGCATGCCTGTAATCCCTGTGCTTTGGGAGGCTGTGGCAAGAGGGTCACAAATTCTAGCCCAGCCTGGAAAATGCAGCAAACTAACAAGATCCTGCCTCAAAACAAAAAGTAAAAAATGGGCTGAAGAACTATCTTAGGGAGAAGAACCTGTGTTGAATCCTTCAATCCTCAGTAATATATAGTCATTTTCCTCAGTTCAAGACACAATACCTGCAATTTAAAGAGAGGAGGGTCGTTTGCTTTGGCTCACAGTTTGGCTTCTTTAGTCCACGTTCTCATGCTTAAACACAGCAGTGACCTGGCAGAAGGGCAGAAAAGTGAAGGAAAACTGCTCATGTCCTGGCAGCCAGAAAGCGGAGAGCAAAGACAGGAGCCCCGAGTGAGCTATGTCCCCCCAGGTCACACCTTCAGTGTGACCTAACACTTGAACCAGGTCCTACCTCGTAAGAGGAAGTCAGTTGCAGAGCTCCATAATTAAATCACCTTCTAAAAGCCCTGCCTCTGAGCACATGAGGTATTTGAGGGACAGTCTTCACCTAAACTGTAATATGATATAATATACATACATGTGCAATATATGCAGCAAACGATGCAAACCGAATCTTATCATTAAAATCATAAGGAAACAATTGTATCTCACTTTAGGAATACCAAAGATGCTCAAAATAATAAATTTATTTGGAATGCAGTCACTAAAATGACTAAGATGCTAGAATTATCTTTTGTTTGTAATATTTATGAATGTTTCTCATTACTATATTTTTTGTTCTCTCATTCAACATGCACATGAACACAAACTCAAATATTTCCAAATTTACAGAGCAGGTAGAAACTTGCCCACAGGAAACATGAGCTTAAATAAAAAGTGGGAGATCCTGCTGTTTTTGTGCATTTACTGTAATAACATCTTCTAAATGTAATTTAAAAGTGAATTGTCACTTCATTAAATTAGTGTATAGCATGGTTTCTGCCAGAACCTATGGATTGTTCTCTTAGGATCATCAGAGTGGTAGGTCTTCTCACGAAAGTCATCATCTGCAGTCAATTCACAGAAGAATCAAACTCTATAGTTATTATATTTATTTGTATTCTTTTTTTTCTTTTTTTGTTTTTGGTACCAGATATCGAACTGGGGACCTTGTGCTTGTAAGGCAGGGTGTGGCACCACTGAGCTAAATCTCTCCCTAAACTCTATACTTAAATAAATTTAAATGTAAAGAAATGAAGATGACACATTACAAAACTGCAGATGTCACTGTAGTTGTGGATCAGCCCTGCGCTGGTTAGGAGTAAGGGGTATTTCTTTGGTTACATATACTTCTTATTCTGTTGACGAAAATCAACATTTAAGACTGAGACCACCCTGTGTACCCTTGCTCTTCTGTTACCTACACCTGGCACCTTGGTCCTTCAGAGCTAATTCACTACTCGGATAAGCAATTGTTCCTTACATAATGACCTATAAATTCTCCATGCAAAGAAAAATGGACTTAGAGAATAGGTAATAATTCAAAATGGTAAATAGTAACATATATTTCTTTGAGCTTTGCATGATTTATTACGCTTGGTAAACTTACCTTCCTAATGAAGTTGTACCAAGATAGGTATAAAATGCTACCATTCACTGACAAAAATGGAAAGAGAAATGAGCGAATGGCCACAATTAGAAAAAGTCTAAGTGTGATGAAAAAAAGCTGAAGCAGAGTCCGAATTTCCTGTTTGTACTCTTATAAAATAAATATTCAGTAGTTTGGTAATTAACAGCCATAGACTACGTGACCTTTATCTAATAAGTTTATTCAAACTTAATGCATAATTAGAAGCTACATCCTGTTTATATTCCCTAACTAGATAATGCATTGTTCACTTTACAAGACGCTACCAGATCATGAGATAATACAAAAATCCATTAATTGCTACCTTAGGAAGGTTTTGTAATCATGATAAAGATAGATTCGTCTTATAGAAAAGCCTGTAACCAATTAAAAAAAAGAGGTGGTTGTACAGAAAGGTGAAATGAGTGTATTTATTACTAATGATCCTGTGGCCATTTACATTTTTACAAAATATCTAAAATCAAGCAAAAATCAATATGGCGTTTTGAATCTGTTTTAATAATCCTTTTTATCTAACATAATGAAAAGAATGAAACAGTTTTAAAGGCTTCCTGAAACAGTGTATCCCTTCCACAGGAGCTGAAGGAGAAGATGGATGAACTCCTGCCTTTGATCCCTGTGTTGGAGCAGTACAAAACAGACGCGAAGCTGATCACCCAGTTCAAGGAGGAGATACGGAACCTGTCTGCTGTACTCACTGGGATCCAGGAGGAGATAGGTGCCTATGACTACGAGGAGCTGCATCAAAGGGTGCTCAGCCTGGAAACCAGACTCCGGGACTGCATGAAGAAGCTAAGTGCGTTTAACACTTTCATTTGTCTAAATTGTGTTTCAAATAGTTTCAAGGATAACTGCATCCTTTGTCTCGCAAGTGTTCATAAAGTACCTGAGTACTTGCTTCTCAGTATAAAGTGTCACTCAATGACTTAATCATACCTGGGTACTCAGTGGTGCTGTACAGTTTCCTGAATTTTAGAGAACTGTGTTGCCATTAGGCAGTTTGAAAATAAGCAGTCTAGCAAATACAGCCAACTCCATTAGCTAGATAAGTGGTTATAAGTTTGATCTATCTACTTTTTTTTTTTTTTTTTTT